GGCAGTAAGAGCACCTAGAGCTTTGGAGAGCTTCTGTTCTACCATCTCAAAGCTCCCTGCTTGAGTGGTAATAGATAGACCAGTAATGTAAGATATGCAGATGGCATTATACTACTAGCAAAAAATAACAAAGACTTGGAATAATTACTGAAGAAATATACTCGCAAAAGCAGTTTTACAACTGAACATTAAGAAAAAGATATTGTTCACAGATTACCGTATTTACTTAACTTAAAAATGGGACATTGATATACTTCATAATTTTGTATTAAATAGGAAAGTTTGGCCAAAAAAAAAATCCACTTCCCAACAAGGCCTCTCTTGTGCACTTGCTTCAGCTGTTTAGGAGGTGCCCTTGACCCTACGAAAGGCCTTTTTAGTTGGCAGAGGGAAGATCAAGAAATTTTCTTTCTGCTTACTCCCCAAAGTTTACTTATGATTCATGCCTGTAAGTGGTTTATTGTGACATATTTTCACAGGAAATGATATGTTTCACTGGAGGCGTGAAAAAATGGACTGAGGAAAGTGCAGAAATAGAGTCCCTTGGGCTGAGAGACACTAGAAAGTAAGGACATACTGACAGGAGAGTGAGAACAAAAGAAAATGGGAAATAAAACACCCTTGGCCTAGCTGTGATGTGTCTTAATCAGTGATATTAACACACTACTCAGCTAGAAAGGGCCCATTGGGGAAATGATTTGCTTCTCAGGAACGTTTTGTTATAATGTAATAACAACAAAGAACAAAAAGTACTCAGCAAGTATTTTTCTGCTGTGGGATAAGCTTAAGTACGTGGATCGGCAAAGGATAGGGTAATAGCAGTCAGAAATTTTAGTAACAACTGAACATTTGAATTATAAGAAAGGATTAGCTAAGTTCCTACTGAATAGAGCCAAAATGGCTATGGCTAGTATCACCTCTAGTACCATAGATAGATGTTGGGGAACGAAAGCATGTCATAATGGTCTGAGTGTTGGAGACCAGGAGTCAAATCCACATTCAGACATGGAAACCTACTGGGAAGGTGATGCCAAACCCCTTCTGAATATTTTCTTTGCCAAGAAAACCTCTTGATAGCTTACCTTAATCTCACCTTTAGTCAAAAGCAACTTGAAGGATCACAACAATAATAATGTTGAGAAGCATGGTGGGGTGGCTCATGCTCTGCTGGCAGGCTTCCCATAGACCCAGTATGAACAAAAGACTGGAGCAGATAGACCTTTTGTCTGACCTAGCACTGCATGTCTGTGTTCCCACATATCTGTCTGGCCCAAAGTATTCTGGTCTGAATGATGGTGGTTCAGCAATGTTTCAAGTGGAGGCTTTCTCCACTGACTTTTCACTGATTCTTTTAATTGGAGATTTGCAGAATTCAATCTGTTGGAAATAGCAACCTTCTCAAACCTCCATTAGTTATTTGTTATGTATAGATTTCAGATTGCTTACTGCATTGTATAGATGTGTTTTTTACTCTTTGTTGTGGGAGGGGCTGCAGACCATGTGATCAGGTCTGGGCTTGTTCAGGTCTCAGACTCCATTTTAGAATCAGAGTTGGGCAGTCTTATCTCAAATTACAGTTTTATGTAAATATTCAAAAACATTTCACCTCCTGATGCCTCAATTAATGTAATTTTATTGGTATCCATTTTATTTTGAAATTTACCAGTAGCAGTAGCATTTCCCACCCTTGGCTTATACTCGAGTCAATATGCTTTCTCAGCTTTTTGTGGTAAAATTAGGCGCCTCGGCTTATATTCAGGTCGGCTTATATTCGAGTATATACGGTATATATGGGCATTGGCATACCTTTGTCCCTAACAGTTCAAAGACATACCTAGGTACATCAGTTTAACAGCTGAGAAACCTAATTGGCTTGCATGAATGCTATTTTCCCAAAAGGTTATGGTATAATTTTTCAAAAAGGTTATGACTTCTAACAAGGTCATGCCTGTCCAAACATCATGAAATCGCCAAAGGTTATGGAGATTTCCATTTTTCAAAACAATCTGCATGAAAAACATGTGTTCTGTCACGTTGTGCTCCCTTCTCCAAACATTTTACAAGGAGGAATGGACATGCTCACCCATAAGGAAGTCAAGCACAGTCATGTCAATGAGGTCAAGAAGGCGAGACGTTTTGTCGTAAGGTGGTGTCTCTCGTACTCCAGTGCAGTAATTTTCATCCAGCTCCCACCTTAGAAAAGTCAGTTAAACAAGTTGTCACATTTAAGGAAATACATGTCATTTTATATGTCATTTTATTCCCTTATGTAGCTCTTCAAGGTCACCTCCTCCTTCCAACCTGATAATATAGATATGCTATTAAGATGATGCTTACCAAACATACTTAAAAATAATAAAACAATAGCCTAAGCTCTGTCTCTCTTGAGTTTGTTTATATGCAGCTTCCCAAGGCCGAAAGAAGAGCTTTTAGAAATGGAGCAAGTAAAATCCTCACGATTTTACTTAATTCATTATCTAGTGGAATATCTTTCTGGCAGTATAATACAGTTGTGTGCAAAAAGTTTTTCAGGTGGGCTGTGAAGGAACATGACTTAGTAGCATACATCAAAACCAGCTCTAAATTCTTGAGATGATGCCTATCAGATAAGAGATCAACATATATCTATAACATTATCAGTAGGACCATCTATCAGACGCATCCCTCACAACACGGGAGGCTTCCTACCCAGAACGGTGATACCTTCCATGTGTGATGGGAGGAGCGTCACCAAGAGAGAGCTGTGATGGATTCGCCCTTCTGACCCCATCTGAAGTCAGGTGAAGAAGGATGCTTCATCTGGCCTTTGTGATAAGGACGTTAAACTAGAAAATACCATTCATGGTCCATCCAAACTCCTTAATATCTAGAGGAAGGCCCTAGCCATCACTTCATCACTCTCTGATAGCCCTGTCTTGCCAACCTTCTCACCTGATCCCTTCCATTTGGAACACTCTTTTGACCTCCTCTATCCAGAAGATACTGTTATTGACCACATTTTTAGCATACTTACTCAGCTTTTTTGTTCTTGGAGTAAGACCTCCTCCAGGGACTTCTCCATGAGCGCCGGTCAGCCACTTCTTTGTCAGGCAAAAGTGCTGCCATAGAGCCCTCCAGCTGGTCAGGCTTTCCACACAAAGCATGCTCCGTAGAACAATAATAGGAACATTCACCAAAGAAGCAGACATTGCCAGCTTGAGTTGACCCAGATCAAAAAGAGTGGAGAAAAAAATCAGAGAAGCATAATACCAATTAACCAATATGATAGCACTACCATCTTTCTTGTGGAAGCAGACAAATGATTTAGTGCTGCCATGGCTTAAAGGACTGAAGTGCCATAATCAGCAGGCGGACAATGTTATCTGCCAGCCCAGTCCTTCAAGCTTCTGTGTTCCCTCCAAGCAAAGCTATGTATTGTGGGTAGAGGAAGGAACTGGCAAACCACCTCTGAGTACTCCTTGCCTATAAGAAAAGCCCGATGAAATCCATGGGGTCCCCAGAAGTCGACAGGCAACTTGAAGACACATTCTTGGGGGCCAAACAAATCCATGGGACCATATTTTGTCAGTTCCTGAAATACATAAAACTAAAGAAAGAAAGAAAGAAAGAAAGAAAGAAAGAAAGAAAGAAAGAAAGAAAGAAAGACAAAGCCTCACCTGGAGAGATGTAAAAAGTTTTAAACAGTTTCTTGTCAGTTGTGATGTCACGAATTTCCTTGGTTATATTCACCAAACGGCCAGAAACAGGGGGAATTCTTCGGAAATCTAGGATCCTCCACAATGATAAAAAAAGCAGACAGGAAACTAAAACAAATTCTGTTTGTTGTTCCTGAACAGACAATAATATCAGACAACGGAAAAGAAATCCCATATAAACACTCATTTTTAAAGAAAACATCAGAGCCACAGCTGGATGGAAATAATGGCATTTCAAACTTTTGATTAATACTTGCATCACAACTTCATTACCAAAAACAATAACTTATTATAGATAATTATGGTGTTTCTAACTCTTTATTTCAAAGCTCGAATTTGTTAAAACCAAGAATGGGCAGCAAATGGCACTTGCTAGTTACTTAAATGATGGCACATCGTCTAAAGGCAAAATAACCATGAGGGTATACGCTGCAGAAAATTTCACAAAATTCCTCTTCCGCAATATTGTTAAAAATTACTACAACAACATTGCCACATTCCATTTCACATTACGTTAAAACATCATTACAATAGCTTACATAATAACAATTTGCTATTTGTCTATGACTGCAGATTTGCTCCTTGAGACAGCTGTCTCATTCCTCCAAATAATAGGGCCAGCCTTGAGCCATTCTGACAAAATACTGCCTTCTACATGCTTCAGCTTCCAGACACAAAAGAGAAAGACCTCAAAGGAGGACTAGCCTCTTCTAACTCCAACTTGGAATTGACAAACTAGAACAGAGGTGGAGAATCTATGGCCTGCCGTTAGGCTCTAATTTCTACTCGCTCCATGATCAAGGGTAATTGGAATTACTCTCATAAAATATCTGGGGGGTTGTAGGTTCTGTACTTGAATCTCTGCTAATATTACTCAGACTGGCTCATTCCAGTGCTCTCCTCTGAGGCTACCTTGTTGAGAACCTGATCACTGGCATTTGCACCCTGATGTTGCTTACTCTTGACTGAAGTCCATTCTTGAAGTCCTTCCCTACTTTGCTTTCTAGCAATCTTCCATAAATTCAACCATGTTGTACTTTAAGGCTGGGAAGCACCTCTGCACTTAACATGCACACCAGTCCAAGATAAAATAGCAAGCAGTTTATTGAAGAATATATAAAAAGCAATTCAGCAAAATATTATCAGAAACCAAAGTAAAAAAAAACCCCAGAGATAATCTACAAAAAATGAGAAGCATCCAAAAGGCATGAATAAAAGAGCAGAATAAATCCAAAACATGATATTAAGAATAGTTCTCAACACTGGGAAACAGGAACAAACAGGAAAACATGAACATGGTACCAGAAAATCCCTTGACTTGACAGGAGTTCTATCCTCAATCTCCAACGTTGCTTCCACTGACTAAAGATTCAGTTTGCCTAGCTAATACAGAGAGAAAAGCATGCCTTATCTCTTGGGAAACTGATACAGACTTTCTTGCTAACAAGCGACCTGACCTTCGGACTTCCTAATGTGAAACTCTATGTTGACAAAACACAACTCTTCTATCTAATTGCTCATTAGTCTGACCATCTGGACTTTCACTACCATTCTCTTCTGTTGGAATGTAGCCTTCAGACAGAGACCGCTAATTTCCAGACTCTAAAATCTCTAACTGCTCCTGCTGACTTTCCTGCAGACTTGCAGACCCAGAATTCCCTGTGTCAACAGGCTGACTAACAGGCCAAGAAACCCCAGAGAGATCAGGTGGAGGCACAATCAAAGGCTGAACTACAAGAAAACACCAGATACAGAACTGGGCATCTTCTGAATGTAAAACATGCATCCAGAAGATGCCCATTTAGAGAGTAGTTAAGGTATGACTACTCTCTAAACAAGGCATGGGCAAACTTTGGCCGTCTAGGTGTTTTGGACTTCACCTCCCACAATTCCTAACAGCCAGTTGAAGTCCAAAACACCTGGAGGGCCAAAGTTTGCCCATGCCTGCTCTAAACAATGCTGTTAGTTTCTGAAAACCTTATTCTGACTTACAGACCTGTACTGTACTCACCTGTCCAGGTGAAAGGCAGATATTTCTGCATTGTGTCGCTCAAAATCTGAGAAGTAAAAGAAGTCTGCTGGTGTCTCCTGATCTCGAGTCTGCCTGGAAATGGGTCAGAGAAATGTGGGGCATAGGAAGTTATTTATTTCTTCATTCATTCATATATCTGAGAGCATAGTTAGCCCACACCCTACTTTGAAGCAAGTGAGCATTTTTTTTAGTATTTTCTGTGGCAAGAATGTAAGATTTATATTGTGTTAGCTCATTGGTCCCATCTGCTTTTAGGGTTGTCATACTCCATTTCCTCAAGTTCAGGCATCTAATTAACACATTATGTAAATTATTCTAAGGATGCAATGTACTCCTAATTATTTTCATTGGAAGTTATGCAAATTCATAACATTAATCCTTTGTCTCACCCCACCTCTTGCACTCTGGTACCCAAACTGTTCCTTTCTCTTAGAAGGCAAGGTTGGACTTGTTTCTTGCAGAAATAACCATGTGACAGAGAAGTCTTAAAGAGCTGGGCATGTTTAGCCTGAAGAAGAGGAGGATGAGGGGAGACATGATGGCCATGTATAAATATGTGAGAGGAAGTCACAGGGAGGAGGGAGCAAACTTGCTTTCTGCTGCCCTGGTGATTAGGACACGGAACAATGGCTTCAAACTACAGGAATGGAGATTCAACCTGAACATGAGGAAGAACTTCCTGACTGTGAGAGCTGTTGAGTAGTGGAACTCTCTGACCCAGGATGTGGTGGAGTCTCCTCCTTTGGAGGCTTTTAAGCAGAGGTTGGATGGCCATCTGTCGGGGGTGCTTTGAATGCAATTTTCCTGTTTCTTGGCAGGGGGTTGGACTGGATGGCCCACATTTTGTGTCACCACATTTTGCCCCTGTCAGTTCCTACAAAGAGTAGATATAGATCAGTGTTTCTCAACCTTCCTAATGCCACAACCCCTTAATAAAGTTCCTCATGTTGTGGTGACCCCAACCATAAAATTATTTTTATTGCTACTTCACAACTGTAGTTTTGCTATAGTTATGAATTGTAATGTAAATATCTGATATGCAGGATGTATTTTCATTCACTGGACCCAATTTGGCAGAAATACCTGATACGCCCAAATATGAATACTGGTGGGGTTGGGGGCGTTTATTTTGTCATTTGGGAGTTGTAGTTGCTGGGATTTATAGTTAATCTAAAATCAAAGAGCATTCTGAACTCCACCAATGATGGAATTAAACCAGACTTGGCACACAGAACTCCCATGACCAACAGAAAATCCTGGAAGGGTTGGTGGGCCTTGACCTAGAGTTTGGGAGTTGTAGTTCACCTACATCCTGAGAGCTCTGTGGATTCAAACAATGATGTATCTGAACCAAACTTGCCAGGAATCCTCAATATGCCCAAATGTGAACACTGGTGGAGTTTGGGGAAAATAGACCTTGACATTTGGAAGTTGTAGTTCTACTTCAGAAACTTCATTTTCGTGGTTGCCACAAACTATGTTGAATTGGTTGAGACTCTATGAGATATTCATTAAAAAACTATAGCAAAATGTGCTGCAGGATGTCCTGCAAAATCAAAGTTTAACAAACTTTCGCCTTGTGTTTATGATCAAACCAATTAAGAAATAACATTTATAACCCTGGAACAAAAATTGTGTTACATAGCGTAATCGCTCAGGGCAAGTTTTATTATTGTACCACCAGAGGTCGCCTTTTTCCAGTCATGGAAGGCTGTGATCACCATTTATTCCGGGATCTAAAACTGATCTACAGAACAATACTGCAGTAGTCGTTATTTTCCCCATCTGTCTATGTTAAATTATTGTTGAAAAAGTGTTGAATTTTTCAAAATGTGTCATCGAATTCCAGAGCAATTCTACAGAAATCCCAAATAAATGGCTAAGGCAACTTGTTTGCATAAACAGCTCTGGGAAGGGAATAAAGGAATCTTCTGACACTTTTGAGTCTAAGGGCACATCCACACAGTGCCCAAAATGTGCGAACTTGCACACTTTTACCAAACAATGCCTCAGATAAAACCGAATCTTAAAACCTGTGGCATAGACACCGAGAACAGGGAAGCCCTGGTCCTTGAGTGCTCTAGCTGGAGGTCAGCTGTGCTGTGGAATTTGAAAATACATGAATGGAGTGAGAAAGGGAGAAACATGCCAAGAGGAAGCCTTCCATTTGGACATCGATGTCCTCACTGTGGAAGAACATGCAGATCAAGAATAGGTCTCCACAGGCACCTATGGACCCACCACCAAGCCACTACATTTGGATGGCCATCATCCTCAGGCTACAAGGGATCCCCTAAGTAAGTAAAGTTCATGCAGAAAACTATAAAAATACTGTGTATAAAATCATCTTTGGATTATGTATATTAGGTGTATATTAAAAATGCAAACAATAATTTCAAAAATGCAAAACACTGCACATTTTGGATAAGAGATACTCCACCTGTATGCTTAAAATTAAGGAGCTTTTCTTCCCATACCAAGTTCTGTGCAAACACAACCTGACACTTAAGCCTCACACCTTATCAGTGGTAGAAATGGTTCAGAATGACAGGCTCACTTAATCAGTTTGCTACATGGAGACAGGCTGGATATTACTTAAGCCCCAAATACTATGTTCCAAACATTATCTGTTCCCCAGATGGAATCCATCAAAGATCATTGCAAGGCATGAAAAGGCTCGAAGATCATCAAGGCGGCGGATGCAGGGTCATCAAAAGTGCAGTACTCACTTCATGGGTTTGAAGAGGGCTTGCCCGTGATTGGGGAAGGTCATGATGAGCTTTAACTGGGTCCCGCCAGGCTTCTGGACTAAAATGACATGGACAAGAATCAGAAAGGCACATAAGGAAGTCCATGTTGGCATTTAGTAAAAGCAAGCAAGAAGACAGATAAAGCCCTCATTGCTTAGCTCAATACCATGACTTTTCAGGAAATAGACACTTCCACAATTCCCCTGTCAAGATGCCCAAGTGTTGAATCTTGAAAGAGAAGACTGGAGGGAGAGCAGAGAGGTAAATGGAGAGAGGGAAAAGATGAGTCAATGCAAGAATCTATGGTATGTGTGTGCATGTGAAAACATACACACATATATATGCATGTGTGTGTGTGTGTGTGTGTATGGGTATATAAACGTGAATGGTTGCATGCATAATAATAATAATAATAATCATCATCATCATCATCATCATCATTTCCTTTCTTACCCACCTCCATCACAGACATCTCAGTGTTTCTGACTCTCTCCACTGGTGTGGAATTTGCATGACCCCACCCACTGCCTCTCCCTTAACCCCTTCTACTCTTTTGAACTCTGTCTGTACAACAAACAGAGCAGAACTGATCAGCAACTAAACATACTGGAGGAGTTTGGGGGATTGACTCCACATGTTGGAAGTTGGAGTTCACCCTGCAACTGTCTTGAGTCCCCCCAGAGGTGAGAAAGGCGGTATATAAATACTGTAAATAATAATAATAAGTCAGAGCACTGTGACCCCCACTGACAATGGACCTAGACAACATTTGGCACACAGAATCCCCATGACCAATATAAAATATTGAAGGGCTTTGCGGGGAATTCACCTTGATTTATAGCCATTGTAGCTACTGGAATTTATAGTTCACCTGTAATCAAAGAGCACTCTGGATCCCATGAAGAATGGCTCTGGGTGCAACTTAGCACACAGAACTCCATGACAAACAAAAAATGCCAGAAGGCTTTAGGGGAAATTCACCTTGATTTATAGGAAATATAGTTCACCTACATCCAGAGAGCACTGTCAACACAAACAACAATGGATCTGCACCAAATTTGGCACGCATATCCAATATGCCAAAATTTGGTTACTGGAGGATTTGTGGTGGAATTTGACCTTGACATTTGTTAGTTGTAGATACTGGGATTTATAGTTCACCTGCAATCAACGAGCACTCTGAACCCCACTGATGATGGACCTGGATCTAACTTGGCACACAGAGCCCCCATGACCAACTGAACATACTGGAGGGATTTGATAGGACTAACCCACCATGATGGGAACTGTAATTCATCCTGCAGCTGGAGAGCATAATGTACCCCATGGAGCAAATTTGCCCAACATGACAAACTTTTAAGTATTGATGGAGCTTCAGGGGGTTTATCTGGCATGATGCGAGTTACAGGACACCCACAACCTTATGCATTTTGCAAAATAAAAAAATTGACTTCTAATAACCCAGGCAACGCCGGGTCTCAAAGCTAGTCATTATATAAAATTCACACATTAAAACATATTTTTACAAAATGCATATATTAAAATACATCGAACAATGATTAAAATATAGTGGACACAAGATGCGAGTTTAAAATTCATGACTAAAACTAGCTGGATAGGCCTGCCGAAAAATAGGTTGTCACACGTGTTTTAAATTCTGACAGCACATTTAGATGTTGGAGCTCTTCCAGCATGTCATTCCACAATCCTGTATCAGGAGCCCTGTATTAATAGTGCGCAAAAGTATACCTGTGTGGATAATTTTTTGTGTGGCCAAATCCTCCATCAAGGCCTGACGAGTGGGGTCATGGCGGGCATATAGCTCATAGCGATTGATGCCAGCGTAAAACCGGAGCCACGGAGGGTTGGGATCGTGTTTTGGAAGACTTGCACCTGTCTTCCCACTGCTGATCCTGCAGTACACAGTACCCCCACAAAACACAAAAACAAAAGCATATGGTATGTTTATCATATATACCAACAATCAACTCAATTATGACAGCTCTATAGCCAGAATATGGCTACCACGAAACAGGAGGGAGTCAGCAGCTGTTACAAACTCAGCACCAGGAGTGCAGGAAGACTTTTTGGAAGTGCTGGTCTGACAGCATCAGCACTTTTCCTTCCACTCCTTGGGAAGAAGGGAGCCATCTTCTCCCCACCTGGAAATAAAAACACTTGAGCACAGCATGACAACAAAAGGCCTGAGGGCTGCAAGTTCCCAATTCCTCATTTAATTCAGTTTAATTTAATCAGCTCAAAAGAAGTTCACTGAAGGAAGAGTATTTGGAGATCACTGGGGACCAAACATGAGGCTACGTACAGGCTAGGTTTGCTTTTTTCGACTGAATATTTTTCCCCTCTAGAAAATATGTCCTTTCTTTCAAACCTCACGAGAGTTCCTGTTTTCATGAAATAATTTTCCTTTAGAAGTTATATCCTTAGAAGTATCAACATAGAAGGCATCTCCTTTGAAGTATCCATAGTTATTTTCTCTGGCTTTACATTTAGGCACATACTTCTGTCAGATTTTCTTCCTACAACATAGTGGTTCTCAACCTTCCTAATGCCACAACCTCTTAATACAGTTCCTCATGTTGCGGTGCCCCCCCCTCCCAAATCATAAAATTATTTTTGTTGCTACTTCATAACAGTAATTGTGCTACTGTTATGAATTGTAATGTAAATATCTGATATGCAGGATGTATTTTCATTAACTGGACCAAATTTGACACAAATACCCAATACGCCCAAATTTGAATACTGGTGGGGTTGGTAGGGATTGATTTTGTCATTTCGGAGTTGCAGTTGCTGGGATTTATAGTTCACTACAGTCAATGAGCATTCTGAACTCCACCAATGATGTAACTGAACACAGAACTCCCATGACTAACAGAAAATACTGGATAGGTTTAGTGGGCGTTGATTTTAAGTTTTGGTGCTGTAGTTCACCTACATCCAGAGAGGACTGTGGATTCAAACAATGATGGATCTGGACCAAACTTGGCTTGAATACTCAATATGCCCAAATGTGAACACTAATGGAGTTTGGGGAAAATAGACCTTGACATTTGGGAGTTGTAGTTGCTGAGATTTATAGTTCACCTACAATCAAAGAACATTCTAAACCATACCGATAGAATTGGGCCAAACTTCCCAGACAGAACCCCCATGACCAGAAAAGACTGTGTTTTCTGATGGTTTTTGGCCACCCTCTTGCAACTCCCCCCCCCCAGGGGTCCCGACCCCCAGGTTGAAAAACTGCAATAACAGGAGCCACACATTATTTGATTAATATCTTTCTCTAACCCCACAAAGATTACCTCATCTACCAATACAATACAGTGTCATTTCAATCAGATGCCATTCTCTTAAATCTAAAATAAAGACCTAGAATGACACTAGGAAGCACATGCAGGAAATAGAAAGCCCAATGTATCCAAGCCCTTAAGTCTAAAATTCATTTTTTGGAAGAACAGAACCTCAGCCTCTAATCTTTACAATCCCTTGAAGCTCCGGCACATTTAAAATCACATGAACGAACTATGCATAGAGTGATACATGACCTGGGTATGATTGTAGAGCGAGCCATACCTGAAGAGGGTCTGTAACACCCTTCCCTAACCCATCATCTCCAGCCAGGCAGTGGCCATACTAGCTGAGGTGATGGAAGTTGTTGTGAAATATATCTGGAGTGTGCCACATTGCCTGAAACCAATGTGTGCTCATCCAATGAGCTATGCAGTGTGTCACGTTCCTGGAAGAAAGAGAAATGCTCTCACCGTTCATCACTTTCACTGCTTTTCATGAAGAGCTTCATCTTGGGCTTGGTAGGAAACAGCTTGTCTTTCTTTGTGATCTTTCGGGTTGGGACATTATAGAGAGGATGCTTGAAAAGGGCAGCCAGTTTGGATTGGCCTGTCCATGTTGGTTTTTCATTAACTTCTTGCTCATGGTGGCTGTGAGTGTAGAGAGGGGTGGTATTCCTGCCACCTGTTTCTAGTAAACCTTGTTTCAAGCGATATTCTTTTTCCAAGGAGCTGTTACTTCCACTGAAGTCTTGGAGAATCCTCAGCTTCAGCTTATTTTGGACCGATAGTATGGAATTAAGTGCAGGAAGACCTGGGGAATCTGCTACTTTTGGCGTACATCCACAGGAATTATGATCGGTGGAGAGTGCTAAATCTATCACCATGTGTATCAGGACAACCAAAATGAGGCAAACACAAAGAGTGGCTTTATATTTCCTTTGGAATAGAGAAGGCATGTGGCGTAGCATCATCTTTGAATCCTAGAAGTCAGCAAGGCAAAACCTGATGGCCAAATTCTATGAAAAATAAAGGGTCTGAAGTTTGAAGCAGGTGTTCGAGATTGTTTCAGGGAAAAAAAATATCCTCAGATCCCAACAAATTTCCCAGTTATGTTCCAGTCATCTTTATCAATACAGGAGGGTGGAATGCGGTTGATTTGTGATCAAGGATTCCCTTCATGTAGATGTCCTCAGCAGAAAAGAGGCAGAAATAGAGGTTGCTGATGAATTTAACATTGTTGACATAGGAAAAGTAGGTGGTGACAAGGTTAACAAGAAGAGATCAAACTCCAAATTGATAGCAGCATATTGGCCAATGCTACAAGTCTCATCAAATATATTCTCACATATCAGACTTTTATGGAACCTTACTATATCCCTCATCATGCCGAACACATTCATTCTCTCCCTACACATATACACCATCAATGGTCCACCTACATATAGAGGGAAGAGGAGACAGATTCGTTGAGAGAAATGGCATGATGTCTATTTTTTTTCAATGGATCTCAATCATATGAAAATGTTGAAATGGAGCACCTAAATTTGGGACCATCAACATTTAATAATCATGCTTCACCAAATATAATGCAGGCATTGAGATCGTTGTTACCTCATCTCTTCATTTCATGAGGCAGATGTCTAGGATCACACTCAACTGAATGTGTAGGAAAGTCTCCAATCACAACAGAACTAATTTATTCTGTTTCGAAGTAGTATACTACACCATATAAAGAACATCCCACTCACTAGCATTTTGTGGTTTGAGTAACACAGATGCAACGCACATCACTTTTGGTCCCTGATCAAAGGGTGCCTCCACTTTCACTCCCACAAAACCATCGAATGAAGAATTAAATATGATATAACTACAGCTATTTGGCCTGCTGCCGATGGCACTCACAGTGGCTTCTGTTAGATTTTATCTTCACAACAGTCATTTTCCATAAGCAGAGCTATAGCAAGACATTTTGCTGCTTGTAATGGAAAAACAAGATGGCAACTCTTCCCCCATTCTAAATTCAGGAGTTTGTTAGCATGCCAGTTGAATTTTGGACAATATCCTCAACCACACCTGACCGGTTTCAGAGAATATGGCACACACAGCTCTATTTTCCAGCATAAAGAGGTAAGTAGTGGGCTTGATTAGTGGATATATCCAAAGGATCAGCTGAATTTGTTATCAGGTAGCATGTCTCATGTCACTTACTGAGCTCCATGGCTGAGTAGCAGGCATAAAAGCTTTTACTTTTATCCCCAACCAATCTTACTGAGACTCTATTTGAGGCAGTGGACAAATCATCTCTTATTCTTTGAAAATACACAGCCATTTTTAATCCGATAGGCCATTTCTGACACCCAGCCATATATCCACGATGACACATTCATTCTCGCTCCGATACAAATACCTCCGCTGCAGAGAGAACAGCGAGTTCTTTGCTTTCTCATGTCCCATGGTGCGGACGTTGCCTAGTAACTGTCTCCAGCTAACACCTTCAGTCGCCCCAGATTCTGACAACACCATATTTCTTTTTCTACCTTGTACTGCAGTAATATCTTTTGCCAGGGCAAAGCAAATAAGCCTTATTTCTCCCTCGGGCATATGCTGGGGAAATAGGTTCTTTGCTGCATGTGCATGTATGGTTTGGCAACCACATTCTAGTTAAGATAGTTTCCTTCTAAACCTGCTTAAAGGACTGTATGGTAAGAAATGGTGACTGATAAATGCCAAAACAGGGGAAAAAATCCACAAATTGCCCACTAATACAGAAAGCCTGTGAAATGCCCTAATACATAGTGCTCCAATGCCATATAAATGGACAAACTTTCCATTTGGATGAAGGTTGTGCCAAAAGCAATAAACTTGTGAATGATTCAGCTTTTGAATGCGGCTTATTAGCACTAGTTGCAAATATTGTAATGAACTGGATAGTGGAAAACATGGATGGACTAGGGAACACTGCTTCCAAGCAAACTATGTATGATGGCAGCCTCAGCAGAGCCATGAATGAAATATGAATATTTATCTCTGCAAGTCAATTGTACTGCCACTTTTGCTCTTATAGTGTGATTGACAAGGGAATACATGGGTCTTTAAAAGTGCACGTTGTAATTTTTAAAAAGCTATATACACTTTTTAAAGAGGCATATTCCATAATTTGCATGTCTGGTCTTTGGTATAATTGAACTCAGCATTTTTGGTAACTATGGCATATGGGAAGGATCAGGAAGATATGAAATTACTGCATATGGGAAGGTGACAGAAATCCATGATTCATTCAGGCTTCCTTGGCGCGCATGTACGTGCCTTCAAGTTTTATTTTTAATTGTAACTTTAAAGTATATTATGGTTTAACTAGCCTTTTACTGTTTTTTTCCAGTATTCCTATCTGAGAGACCCCGGTGGTGCAATGGGTTGCACTCTTGTGCCTGCAGGATTGCTAACTGAAAGGTCGGCGGTTCGAATCTGGGGAGCGGGGTGTGTTCCCGTCTGTCAGCCTCAGCTTCTCACATGGGGACATGAGGAAAGCCTCCCAAAGGATGGTAAAACATCCAGGCGTCTCCTGGGCAACGTCTTTGCAGGCGGCCAGTTCTCTCACACCAGAAGCAACTTGCAGTTTCTCAAGTCACTCCTGACACGAAAAAAGAAACAAACAACTGAGATGCTGTAGGTGTTCTTTTTAGCCCTGCCCAAACTACCCTTCTTTAAGTCAGGATTACAGAACACACAACCCTCTCAATTTTGATGAATCACAAGTCTCACTGACCTCCATTAACTAACTGAGACTTTTGGGAACTGGAGCCCAACATCTGGAGGGTACAGACCTATCCTCAAAGATAGGGCCATATCTACAAAGATGTGTATGGTATCGTCATCTTCTCTTTCCATAACACAGCGATAGGACAGCATGTGGACTTATGGCTGCTTTCAGTTGTCAGCCTGTTTTCTTCAATACTGTCCTTAAGATCCATGTAAGGACAGACTGGTTTTGTGTCACATTTTAAAGTGAAAATTAAGCTGTAGTTGGATTGTGTTCTCAGAAATCTGGGGCACTACATCACTTTAACACAGTGGCATTACTAACCAAATGGTTTTTCATCATGTTGGGTGTGAGCTTGCTGTGACATGACAAGAGTGTGCTTAAAAGCCAGCTATTCATATCAGGTGATCTGTCAATGCACAATGTTGCCATGACATCACTCCATTCCCTAGCTCCTACCTCTTGATAGCAAAGCATGAGTCAAATGGCACAGTCTGCAAGAAGACTGCTGTGCTCTGAAAACCCCTTCCCCATGGGGTTTGTATATATATAGGCCAACCCAATTACAGAGTATAATGCTCCACTGGTGCTTCACTGCCACATAAGTCATAACAGTGCATTGCCTAAAACTGTGCTCTGGAGCATTAGGGTCTAGCAATTTGAAGTTATACTATTGTTCTCCAACCAACCCGTTCCTCGTCTATAGCTCCAGAGAATAAAATGAGGGGAGCGTACCACTGTAGGAGGAACATTTTTGCAACTTTGTTAAGAATTATACATCTTTCACTGGAAATGGTGTATATAATACTGTGAAGCCACTGGGTAAGATAAGAACATTATCAAATGTGTAGAATGTGGAATTCAGATGGATAAATTGCTCCATTTGACTTGCCAAGGTCTCTTCCTCTGCCCAAAATCCTTCCTAAAAGACAAGGAAGAACTGGCTCTGCTGGGAGGACTTCTGATTGAGCCATTCCAAAGCAAAGCTTCTCCTCAAGGAACTGTCATTTCAAGCCACCAGCAGCCACTTGAAGCAGCAGCTCCCTTGGATTTTCTCACCCGCTAGGAAGCGTATGGACAAAAGAGAGCCACAACAGTAGAGAGTTATTGTTATTTCACATACTCAGAAAGTTGTATGTCTATTGAGCAATGCAGTACACCCCCTCCATCAACATATGAATGATAAATAGGTGTTCTTCCAGAGAAAGGAAGAACACACGTCTACCACTGCACCTCATTAAGACATTTTTACTGGGCTAAGAATACTCTGTCTTCCATTTGGAACCATCCCCTGCTGTTCTCATATCACCAATTCCATCATTTTTTTTCATTAGGAAAAAAACCTGTTTAGGAGGAAAAGGCAGCATACATACAATTTTCACTGGTAAGTGCTAGGAGCCATTTGCCTGAAAGCTGTCAGTGTATTAGAGAAAATTAATATCATAGAATCATAGAATCATAGAGTTGGAAGAGACCTCATGGGTCATCCAGTCCAACCTCCTGCCAAGAAGCAGGAATATAGCATTCAAAGCACCCCTGACAGATGGCAATCCAGCCTCTGCTTAAAAGCCTGCAAAGAAGAAGGCTTCACCACAATCCGGGGCAGAGAGTTCCACTGCTGAACAGCTCTCACATTCAGGAAGTTCTTCTTAATGTTCAGATGGAATCTCCTTTCTTGTAGCTTGAAGCCATTGTTCCGTGTCCTAGTCCCCAGGGAAGCAGAAAACAAGCTTGCTCCCTCATCCCTGTGACTTCCTCTCACATATTTATACATGGCTATCATGTCGCCTCTCAGCCTTCTCTTCTTCAGACTAAACATACCCAGCTCTTTAAGCCGCTTTTCATAGGGCTTGTTTTCCAGACCCTTGATCATTTTAGTCGCCCTCCTCTGAACATATTCCAGTTTGTCAATATCTCTCTTCAATTGTGGTGCCAAGAATTGGACACAATATTCCAGGTGTGGTCTAACCAAGGCAGAATAGAGGGGTAGTATTACTTCCCTAGGTATGTATTACTTCCCTATGCTTCTATTTATGCAGGCCAAAATCTCATTGGCTTTTTTTGCCGCCACATGACATTGTTGGCTCATGTTTAACTTGCTGTCTGTATGAGAGACTATCTGTATGAGAGACATTCTTTGGTGTGCAAAAGGGAAGTGGGGGGTAAACCTGTGTTGATCAAGTTTTTCTGGGAATTACAGACCAAGTTCTGGGTTCCAGGAACTCTTGGCATTCATTACATTTGTGTATGGAAAGTGCAATGTGACATATCAATTCATATAGCACAATGCTCCCGCATTGGATTGCTGATATAATGCAGACCTCACTGCAGCAAATCCAGATGCTTTTCTTCTGCTTGAGTTCTTATTTCCTAGTAGTAATTCTAGCTCAAGAAGCTGCTAGCTTGCTAAATCAGACTGATCTCTCTTGCTTCATGCAGGTCACTGCTACCCCCCACATGACTA